TCGTCGAGTTCATGATTTCATGTTATAAAGCAGACTAACTGTTTAATGATTGTGTGTATTTCGTCGAGTTCATGATTTCATGTTATAAAGCAGACTAACTGTTTAATGATTGTGTGTATTTCGTCGAGTTCATGATTTCATGTTATAAAGCAGACTAACTGTTTAATGATTGTGTGTTTAAATATATATATATATATATCAAATATTTCTTTTCTTATTCACCAGAGGTGAAATTGAAAAGTGAATCTCTGACGTAGAGGCTTAATACATTCTTTGATTGGCCGTACCCTTTGCTGTGAACTGCAGTTTCGCCTATTCAAGACTCATTAGCAAAGTCTGAATCAACAAATTTAACATATACAGAGTGGCCCAAAAGTAGGTATATAATTTCATATGTTGAATCTATTAAATTGTTCTTAGGTTTAAAGAAGATAATGGACTGCACTCCTATGAGGTTTTTCTTTTGAGGGGGTGCTGAAGGACAAAGTTTATAGTAGGAACTCGCAGAATGTTGAAAGGGTACATCACAGACGCACTTACAGAACTTGATGGACAGACAAACTTGTGTCAGAAAGTTTGCAGAAGTGTGGCAGCGACGGGTTTCAGTTTGAACACCTGCGGAATTAACTTGGGATTAACTTTCCTATAATTCCATGTCACGTGTCGTTAAATAAATCATCAACTGTATACCTAATTTTGGGCCACACTGTATATAATTATTGTTTGTTTCAAGGTAAGACATTAGATATTAAACTATGTTCGAAATGAAACAACTATATATCTGTATATGGTAGCTTTCCTTGTCCTCGAAGAGGATAATCAGAGTTTAGTTTAATCTGTAAATATATTGTAATTCATATATGATAATTTGGAAGTTGTTCCATGGATATGCATACTGGAGTACGTGTTAGTGTAAGAAGCGCAAGTAATTGGAATCAAAAAGGTTCACATGGAGAAGTTATTAGTATTATTGGTAATATTAACAAGGTAGATATTTATTTAAAATTAATTTATAATTCATATATACAAACTATTTCTGCTAGAGGCATAAAATATTGCACATTAATACATCAATAATTTGTTCGGTTTATTTGTAAAAGTGAAAAAAATAACGGATAAGAAAAGTCGCCATTTTTATGACAGGACCTGTCTTTCGTGGTCATTCATACCAATATCGATCGAGCATTTTTGATGTATACAGTTTACCATGTAACCATCGTTACTGATGTCAGCCGCGACGTAGTTTCGATTTACACGTTAGCTCAGTTTTTATAGCTCGTGAACAACTAAGTATAAGGTCAACTAACTCCGCATACATTATGCCCTTGAAATGTTCTGTTTTATGTCTTTCCAGAAGTAATAGTAATTTTATAGTGTGTTATCAACAACAGATGTTAGATAAGTTGTTGAGAGAAGTCGTTAAACTATCTGAGATCTTCTCCTGAAGTGATGCATGCACACACACCAGAATTAAACATATTATTCTTCTATTTTGACTTTAGAACCAGTACCGGTCTCTGTGAACCTTTGAAGTTGGGATAATCATTCATGAGCGGAGTACGTATTAATAATGTTTGTATATAAATAGTTTATTGTCGAATGCAAAATTCATATTGCCGCTATTACTATTCCATTGCCCCCCAGTGGCACAGCGGTATGTCTGCGGACTTACAACGCTAGAAAGCGGGTTTCGATACCCGTGGTGGGCAGAGCACAGGTAGCCCTTGTGCAGCTTTGTGCATAATTAAAAACAAACAAAAAAAACAAACTTACTATTCCATTAATTGATTGCGGACAGTCTTGTAGCTGGTTGTTCAGTTACTTCTAACATTAAATTGTGTCGAGGAGACTAATATGTTTTTTACTTTGAATAACTTAGTGAAATGTCACAAAACTGTTGTTCCGAAAATTTTAGCCAATTACCTGGCTTAAAGTGATAAACTGAGGCTTAACTAATTTTCATTGCTCATTTTCTAAGTTAACTTTTCTGTTTTTGTTATTACTAGGAAATTTAGAAAATAACGTACATACAACCTAAAGTGTTCAGCCTTTACCACAGTATATTAACGCACATACAGCCTAAAGTGTTCAGCCTTTACCACGGTATATTAACGCACATACAACCTAAAGTGTTCAGCCTTTACCACGGTATATTAACGCACATACAACCTAAAGTGTTCAGCCTTTACCACGGTATATTAACGTACATACAACCTAAAGTGTTCAGCCTTTACCACGGTATATTAATGCACATACAACCTAAAGTGTTCAGCCTTTACCACGGTATATAACAGTTTCGGACATTGGAACTTTCAATCCGCAGTGTAAATAAATAGTAATGGGAAATTTTTACATTGTTTTATTGTATATTTATATATATATTACATAAAGCTATAATTCACGTTCTGTGTTTGTTTGTTCCTAGCTTAAGAGTTAAACTTCTTGAATGTATTTTCAAGTCGTTTAGCTCAAAGTTAACACAACCACAATAATTCTTCTTTGGCTACTTGGAAGTACATTAACTACAATGGTGTTTGGTTTAGTTGTATGAATACTGCATTGGCGACGTTAGTTTTATCAATAAATACTTCTCGTAAAAAATATTCAGTTATGGGTTCTCTTCAGTTTATGTCCTCTGAATTTCTCAAACTAGCCTTACAACCCCCTTTTTTACCCCTGTTCACACTCTCTCCTCAGTTCTGTTTCTTTGGTTTATTGGAATGCTATTTAAACTTACCATACGACGATTAAACCTATGACACATTTTAACTATATTAGAATTTTGCACTGTGTCTCCTTTTCTTTCTGTCACAAACCCCCTAAATTTTGATTGCTAGAATTTTGCATATCTTTTTTTAGCGACTTCAGATGAGTTTTTCCTACTTTTCTTTGGGAGAAATGTCATCGGGTAGGTTGAGTTACTGATTTCAAACCGGTTTATTATAAGCTTAATTGTTCGAGTCCTGAGATTTTCTGATCTGCCTACACTGCTCATCAGAAAGGTAAGGAATTATTTCCGCCTGGGGGATTTTACACATCTTAACTGCATTTAGTAAAAGAAAAACTACAAGTATACAGACTTGCTTTTAAAACAATTCATAGTAACAATATGTGGGCAAACAACGATTTATAAACACAAGGAAGAGTTTTATTGATGGTGAACATACTACACGTTTCGATAAATCACTGATCTCTCTTTTTCAGGTATGGCCAAGTGGTTAGGGCGCTTGACTCATAATCTGGGGGTTCGCATCCCCATCCCACCAAACATGCTCGCCTTTTCAGCCATGGGGGCGTTATAATGTGACGGTCAATCCCACTATTA